GAACATTAAAAGTGAGACCATGAAGATCTTGTTTGAACAGACGAAATATACTCTTCTAAACTATGATGAAAATCGATTCGTGATTCAGCCCAAAAAACATAATAAGAGATGAGACAGTTTTTAAATTGTTTCTTTTTATTCAATTAAGGTGTTGCTTACAAGTAGTAAGTGTTTTTTTATTTGGCAAGATTTAAATGAAACATGATTTAAAGGAATCATTTGTTTTCTTTTAATTCACAGTTGATAATATACTGTAAATTCAGAAATTATTGCATGCATTTAATATTGCATGTTTTTGTCTTTGATTCATTTTTTTTGTCTTTGATTCGTTTTTTGCCATTTTGGCCATGGTATATATAAAACAAGATGATGATGATGATGTAGGATGGCTGCTTAACCTCCAGCTGCAAATTAATTTGTATATTCGGGACGAGAACACGTTAATGTAATATAAAAATGAACCTTGCTTTGTACTAGACTGACACGCTGAGCCAGATTTTTAACATGCTAGTTCACAAGGTAACAGTCCACAGGAAGATATATCACCAAAGATTCCAAGTCAACCAGTCTTTGCTCTTACTCCTTATTGCTGCGTGCTTGGCGGGGAAGCAGCAAATATCAATTTTAATGTCTTTGGTTTGACCCGGCAGGGACTCGAACCCACGACCTCCAGCACTCGAGGCGAACACGCTACCATGAGACCACCAAGGCGGTTAAAAAAAACCAAGAAGATGTGGTATAATTGCCAATGAGGCAACTCTCCACAAAAGATCAAATGCATAGACGTTAACAACTATATGCTACTGTATGGCCTTAAACAATGAGTATACTCTTGTTTTTTATTCTTCTTCTAGTTACGAGTCCTGTGATACTAGTATCTTCATGGTCTTGGTTAACAATAATGACAATAAATGCATTTGAGCAATCTCTTATACTGTGGGGTTGTCAGTTTATTTTCAACTTATGAGTTTGAATGTTCCTTTGGTATCCTTTGCCTCTCTCTTATAAAAGAGCAGTTTTTCGATGCATTCTAATATAAATGCTTACAACTGAATTTAAAGAATACTGCAAAAAGAGGGGCGAAAGATACCAGATGGACAGTCAAACTCATAGATCGAAAATAAACTGACAACGCCATGGCTAAATAAAATGCTCCGCTGGGGCGCAGCTTGATACGACCGTAGAGGTCGAACCCTGAACAGTTGGGGCAAGTATGGACACAACATTCAAGCTTGATACAGCACTGAATTTGGATTGTAATTAAATATTTGACACAGCATAGGTTTCTCACACAGAATGAAAGTGGTCTAAGAACTTAAAAATTTTTAATTTACCTATTCAAACCATATCATTATTAATTTATTAGTTTTTATATATAAATCAGAAATTACCAATTTAAAATGGAAAATTTTAAAGAAAAAAAAAGGAAAAAAAAATCCCCACCAATTTGTTGAACCCCCTTATGATTCATCACCCCCAAACTCAATCCCAGCTTTCCCTTTGTGGTATGGTACCTTGCAGTACAATTTCAGAGAGATCCATACACTTGAACACAAGTTATTGTCTGGAAACTAGAAAAATGCTTGCTTTTTGGCCCCAAATTCCTAAACGCTTTGGGCAATTACCCCCAAATTCAAACCCAGCTTTCCCTTTGTGATATGGAACCTTGCAGTACAATTTCATAAAGATCCATACACTTACACACAAGTTATTGTCCTGAAACTAGAAAAATGCTTGTTTTTTTGCCCTTTTATGTCCCCTAATTACTAAAATTTTGAGGGAATTACCCCCAAAATCAATCCCAGCCTTCCCTTTGTGATATGGTACCTTGCAGTACAATTTCAGAGAGATCCATACATTTGAACACAAGTTATTGTCTGGAAACTAGAAAAATGCTTATTTTTGGCCCCTTTTTGCTTAACTTTTTGGGCAATTACCCCCAAACTCAATTCTAGCTTTCACTTTGTGATATGGAACCTTGTAGTACAATTTCATAAAGATCCATACACTTACACACAAGTTATTGTCATGAAACTAGAAAAATGCTTGTTTTTTGCCCCTTTTTGGCCCCTAATTCCTTAAACTTGGAGGCAATTACCCCCCAAATCAATCCCAGCATTTCTTTTGTGATATGGAACCTTGTGATACAATGTCAGAGAGATCCATACACTTACACACAAGTTATTGTCATGAAACTAGAAAAATGCTTGTTTTTTTCCCCTTTTTGGCCCCTAATTCCTAAAATTTGGGGGCAATTACCCCCAAAATCAATCCCAGCATTCCCTTTGTGATATGGAACCTTGTGGTACAATGTCAGAGAGATCCATACACTTACACACAAGTTATGTCTGGAAGTTACAAAAATGCTTATTTTTGGCCCCCAATTCCTTAACTGTGGGTACCATAACCCCCAAAAGCAATCCCCACCTTCCTTTTGTGGTATTGAACCTTATGGTAAAATATCATTGAGATCCATTCACTTTAACTAAAGTTAGAGTGCGAAAACTAATGTGTCTTCGGACGACGACGCCGGACGACGCGGGACGACGCCAACGTCATACCAATATACGACCACAAAAATTTTTTTGCGATCGTATAAAAATAAAAAGACAGACAAATAATAGTACACAAGACACAACATAGAAAACTAAAGACTAAGCAACACGAACCCCACCAAAAACTGGGGGTGATCTCAGATGCTCCGGAAGGGTAAGTAGATCCTGCTCCACATGTGGCACCCGCCGTGTTGCTCATGTTTGATATGTACTATCAATGTAACCTTTTTTGTCCCTTGAATCAACTTATTCTTTAAAGTTATTATAAGCCTGGTATATTTGTGGAGCTTTTTTCAATTGTTCATATCTTTGTTTAAGATTTTTGGTCTTTAAGATAGTCATTTACTGATAATGAACAGATCAATATTTCTTATCAACACAAAAGTGCTGATTTCCTGACATATATATAACATACATTTCTTTTGCTTATTGTCACTGGAGAAGAAAGAAAATACATAATTCATTTTTTTTATTGCATTGTTTATTTATCGTATTGCACATGCATAATCAATTGCTTGTGCACATATGTTGTCATTAACAACAAAGTAAAACATGTTGACAATGAAAGTCATGTGATTAGGTCACATGCACTTACAAGTGTCATGTGACTTAACATTCAACACCCATTCTCTTACATACATACACTAACAGAATGAATTAATTATATGTATCTATGTGTGATCTACATTTATCAACTATTAGCTGTTAGTAATTCAGATCTTATTGTAATATTTTTAATTATATGCCAAATATTCAGCTTGAAATAGCCAATAAAAGTTACTTTTTAGGACTGATATTTTTTTACATCTTTTATTGTATGTCAGAGGAACCAGCTAACAATGAATATTTTTTGGGTACATCATGCAATAAGTTATAGGTATCAGATGATCTGTAAAGTCATCAAACATGTCAAAGATGCCAAGCTAATAATCTTGTAGCTAAACATATAACTGTAATACTGACATGTTATTTAGGACTAAATATTAGATACTAGGATATCTAGGTTTCAAAGTAATAAATTCTAATCCATGTTTAAGTACCAATCTGCCTAAGAATCAGGAAGTGATGAAAACATGACTAACAAAAACCCACTCAGCTTTACATTAATTCAAGTTCAGAATGTATAATGGTGTATGAATATAACATTCCTTTCATTTCCCTGTCCTGGTAATTCAAGATATAATTTGGTTGAAATGCACTAGAAATTACCAATTAAGGGGAGTTAACTCCGTAATTTGCTATCATTCTAACCAAAACTTATCTATATATTTCTCAAATTACCAGACACGCAGAAATGAAAGACCTACCATTTCTAACTCAGGATGAGGGTACCTTCAAAATAGGGTGGTTAGGTTGATAGGTTTTTTCCGGCCATGTTTTTAAAATTTTTCTAAATTGGCTGATTCTTACAAAGACTGGCACTTAATAAACCGTTGACACAGATTTATGTCTCACTTTCTTGTAATTTTGATAGCATAATGCAAATGTTGAAATTAAATGGCAATATTTAAACATGTAAACTAGGCAGCACTGTTAAAGGTACCCGGTGCAGGGTCAAACAACCTCCATGGAAATGCCAATGCCAAAAAACTGCAAACAAAATACCATTATAAGTGGTTCCTTTTAAACAAACCTAAACCTAAACTTAAACTTGTAAACTATAAAAAAGTCAATAAACCATAATGGGGTGGGTGGCATGGAAATAAAACTTGCTTATACAACTGTATATCAATAAAGAAAAAAAGTAATGATTCATATCGTTATTGGTCAGCCTGATACCCATGAAGTAAGTACCTCCACTGTATTTTTTTTTCTTATAAGTCCAGATGTGGTATAAAATCTACTTCAACACAACAATTATAACAAAGTCTTTGGTTGTAGTACAATATATGGCATCATTTGAATAACAGGAGATATGATACAAATCAGTTCCATTAGAACTTGTCAAAAACAATACTGTTCAAAGTGGATGAAACAATGATATACTGATATAGTAAGTCACTGCATTAGGTTACAGGGATAAAACTGCTAAGTTGATGAGAGGAATGATATACTGATATAGTAAGTCACTGCATTAGGTTACAGGGATAAAACTGCTAAGTTGATGAGAGGAATGATATACTGATATAGTAAGTCACTGCATTAGGTTACAGGGATAAAACTGCTAAGTTGATGAGAGGAATGATATACTGATATAGTAAGTCACTGCATTAGGTTAGTGTTTAAATCTTTGTTATAATTCATATGATTCTTGAGCTTCTCTATTGAGACTTAAGTTTTAGTTTTGATGTGTTCATGGCATTGAATGGTCAATTGTAAGTGGACTTCATTTCAACATGTGAACCAAGAACTGCCTAATTACAAGTATTTCAAAAGGGAATTTAGTCCACTTTTGAAATTAAGATAGACTTTTAGAAGCACTCTAAAATAATAACTAAAAGAATCTGATTTTCTTTCACCTTTGTTATCAATTTAAGGTTCTCTTGCATTTTTATTTGCATAATTAACCTTAAATGAATAACAGCAGCAAGTCTGGATTAAAGACCAAATATCATAACAATGTCTAATTTTTCACTTTTTAGGGCAGATCACATAATATAAAATAGTCAAAACTTAAAAAAAAAAATGAAATGCACAACTATTTATTAGGAAATAAACTTAGTTTGCAAACTAAACTGGTCTGCTGATATTTTCTATGAAAAAAAAACAATGTCTGTTTTATAGAGTCGGCTTGTGTCTAGGAGAATCAATGTTCTGAACAATCATACAAGTATTCACCATTCCATTACATGGATTTTAAGGGTTAAAAATTAGAACAATTCTTTCAAACATGCATATATCACAACACAGTGAATAAATAAAGAATGAATCCATAACAAAATATACATATAAACACCTGACAATATCATGAAAACCAGCACTGACAAAAAAAAAGGCTCAACACATATTTGTCACCCTGTCCAAATAGAAAAAAGAAAGATACAAAATTAAAAGTCAGATTCTTCATTCAGGAATTGTTTTGGGGAAAGTGTTTTAAATTGTTATATATCTGAGAACATTAGATAACTGATGAAAGACAGAAAATGTAATTATTTGTTCATAGAACATCATTAAAATCTACCACTAAAAAACATGATATTGAAAAAATGTCCAAAATTGAATGAATATTGAATTTGACCAGCAAATTACTTCATACAATAACTAATGCTCTGATATCTTAAATGTAAAAGCATACATGTAATGTTAAAACTATTGAACCCTTTAATGCATTCATAGAAATAATGGCTTATGACTCTAACAAAAATAGTGATGTATATTAATGCACAATATAACAAAGGGGAGGAGAAAGTCTCCATTTTATCATAAGGGAGATAACTCTTATTTATTGATTACAACATAGAAAGACCTTTATTTCTCAGTTGGCACTGTTTACTTGCATCAATAATAATAAAACTTTTGGCAATGCTAAATGACTGAAGGTATAATTATGTTGACAGTATCCAATTATTAATTGTACCTAAGCTGGCTAAGCAGGCCTTCATTCCACAGCTTATACTTTTACATTCAGAAGCATCATCTGCTTACCTTTCCCTGAGCACCTGAGATCACCCCCCAGCTTCTGGTAGGGTTCGTGTTACTTAGTCTTTGTTTTCTATGACATGTTTTGTATACTGTTGTTTGTCTTTTGATAATTTTTTGGTTTTTTTTGCCATGGCATTGTCAGTTTGTTTTTGACATATGACTTTGATTATCCCATTGGTATTTTTGACCTCTCTTTTCGAGTTTCATTTTCACAAAAGTCCAAACTTCACAGTATATATTACATTTACTCCCACAATATTCAGTTATCAAATTGCCAAAATGCCTCTCTCAATAAAATTAAAAAAAAAAAATTATAATAAATTAATATATATCTCCCTTTCTTTCAATATCTTTTTTAATATTTAGTTTAAAATTCAATTAATGCACTTTGAAATTGTTATAATTCAACACCTAAATTTCACACAGTGTGTAAACAAGTGAAAATCTAAGAAACAATATACATTAAAGTTTCAAACTGAAGTTGTAATATAAAACCTGTCTTTGTTAATGCTCGGAACTGATCAATATTAAATTAGAACATTTTAAAGACATTCGTCTATTGCATTTAAAAAAAACTTTAACAGCAAACTATTAAAATCTCATAAATTGACATACACATATTAAAAATCATACGCTCACACTTAACAAAAAAAAAATGGCCATGTACAATAACATTTTTTTTTAAACCTTTATCATCACTATCTGATTAAAAACACTTAATCACATGAAGAACAACAATGCAAAACATTGTCATCAAAAGTTCAAGAGCACTTTTATCCACACTGACAACTGTCAATATATACTGACAGTTAGCAATCATTTTGATTGACAACATCCAGCACCAATTACACAAATCACAGATTCTAAGCAGCTCTTCAATTGGTCAAAATAACAACACTGATTATAAGCAGTTCCCCCATTGGTCGAAATAGCAGTACAGCTTGTTTCTGATTGGAAGTTCACTTTATAATAAAGATCTTACTTAAACTATCATTATAACAGCACAGCTGTTGACAACCTTTAATTTCAGATCCATAAGACAGATTCATCATTCAATTCATAATTGTTCACTGGATATTGAATGTAAAAATGAGTTCGTTGCCACCAGTCAAGAAATGATTTCTCCCTCTTAATGAGAAATAAGTCCTCCTTCCTTTCAAGTGAATATGAGAACACTATAATAATTATTGGGTATGTCCAACTGTCAGATCAAGTTTCGGTACTACTAGTATAATCCTCGTCACCTTTGTGGAAATAAACTACTCAGAAAGTTGAATATAGATCCTATAAGGTTAGATATACCTTCCCAGTTTCTAAACATCATCACAACACTGACAATTAGCACAGTCGTACTCAAAACTCTTGTCCTAAAAACAGAGAAAATACATTAATCACATTACTTAGCACGAAACTAAACCACCAATTTTATAACGACTTTTACAGAAAAAAAAATTATGAAGAGTTCCAGGGAACACTGTGTCTTGTCTCAAATTGCTGTAATGTTGACTGTAAAAAGTAAGTTCATTTATCATAATTAAAAAAAAAATCAAACTTTTTTTTTATTGTACGATTGCTATGTCTTGCTTGACCTTAATGTTGCAGGCAAGGCAAAAAAGTATGGTGGTTTAAGACAACACTTTGTATGATGACATCCCATAACTTGTGTTTTTATTTGCAACACCAAACTGTAAAAAATTAAACCCACAGAAAAAAAATCAATCGTGATGTCAACCTTTCCAGTATATTATTTCCCCTAAATTCCATTCCACAAAATAAAACTTCCCTAAAAAGAACATATATTATGAAGGTTAAAATTGTACAAATTTATAAAAACTTTATGATATCACATAATGGCCCTTTCAGTTACTTGAAAAAAAAGAAAATCTTGACCAACTGTATAAACTTATTTTGCTTTTTTTTAAGAAATAACATGGACATGAAGTCAATTCTATAGGAACAATTTAATTACCCATTAAACTTTAGTTTTCAAAATGGTGAACTTTTATAGTATTTCAACTTACCTATTAGCTATAAATGGGGCAAGACAATTGGCAAGTGTGGATACAAAAACAAGTATAACAGCTAATATAGCCAAAACAACATTCAGTAACTTGGTCAACAAAGTTCGAAAGGTCACATTCTCAACCATCTCCATGGAGATAATCTGTTGCTGTTGTTGCTGAAGCTCCATCTTTGTGATCTATAATATAAAATATTAGACTTGGAATTAACTTTTCACACATCGTTAAAAAATAATGAGTCAAGCTTTACCCAAAAATGCTAATTGACCCACATTTACATCCTTGTATCAAACATATTGCAGCACTTGAAGCAAACAAGGCCATTCAGGAATCTATGATCAGTTTCCCAAAAAATTTTACAACTCAAATTGATTGTAAGTCATATGTTCATGACTTACGATCAACTGTAGGATCAACTGTAGTCGTTAGATTTTTTGTGAAACTGATCACTGTACAACAATACACTCAGTGGCGGATCCAGAAATTTTCACAAGGGGGGCCCACTGACTGCCTAAGAGGGGGCCCGCTCCAGTCATGCTTCAGTGATTCCTTAAATAATCAACCAAATTTTTCCCACAAAAGGGGGGCCCGGTCCCTTGGAAAACCCTCTAAATCCACCTCTGACACTTTATTCCAATCATTATTTTTCCGTCAAAGTATTTGGTTATAGTAGGCGTTATGATATATCACTTGTGCATTTGATTAGCATAAAATCAATGTCAGTACTTTGACTAAATGGGTGAATATCTGATTTCATAAAATTTCCATATCAAGGCCAAGATGATTTTTATATAATGAATTATGAAATTTATATATTTCTATAGTGTTCAATAATAATGTAAGAAAGAATAAAGACTGATACTTGTAAAAAGTGTCAAGTAGGTACAATGACCTAGTCAGCCCTGGGATGCAGGGAACCAGTTTGCCAATGACCTTCTCAGCCATGGGATGTAGGGAACCAATTTGCCAATGACCTTGTCAGCCCTGGGATGCAGGGAACCAGATTGCCAATGATCTTCTCAGCCCTGGGATGCAGGGATCCAGATTGCCAATGACCTTGTCAGTTCAAGGATGCAGGGATCCAGATTGCCAATGACCTTGTCAGTTCAAGGATGCAGGGATCCAAATTGCCAATGACATAAAAAATCAGTGTAGAGCAAAAGTTTTCTGGTATTGGAAATGGTATTAATCAAAGGTATTGGCTGATCACTTTTAATCTTAGATCTTAGTAGGTATTATTGAATTTATTGCAATATGACATACATGTACAGTAGTTCTTCATTATTTGTCCTTTAAAAATAGGAAAAAGAGTGATCCACTTCATTTGGACCCTGGTGGATATTTGTCACATTGGCAATCATACCACATTTCCTTATTTTTTTAAAACTTAAATTTTGCTGACAATATTCAAACTTACAGTAATGGATAAGATCACATTTCTTGAATAAAGTGAGTGTATGGTTACAATTGGAAACAAAGTTTTATTTTATTTCTTTTATTTATGCTTCAACAAATCCCAATATAATATCATTGATCACAATATGAATCATTAAGAGATGTGGTATTTCGACTGGGCAATTCACACCACTGTATAAGAAGGTAGCCATCCCAGTACCAGTGATATTCTTTATGTATAGCTTACCCTTGTGGTACAGTTCTTTAATATATCATGTATATTGCTGGTTCTCTCCAGTGACATTCTCTACGTATGACTTACCCTAGTGGTACAGTTCTCTAACATGTCATGTATCTCACTGGTTCTCTATGTATGACTTACCCTTGTGGTACAGTTCTCTAACATGTCATGTATATCACTGGTTCTCTCCAGTGACATTCTCTATGTATAACTTACCCTTGTGTTACAGTTCTCGAACATGTCATGTATATCACTGGTTCTCTCCAGTGACATTCTCTATGTATAACTTAGCCTTATGGTACAGTTCTCTAACATGGCATGTATATCACTGGTTCTCTCCAGTGACATTCTCTATGTATAACTTAGCCTAATGGTACAGTTCTCTAACATGTCATGTATATCGCTGGTTCTCTCCAGTGACATTCTCTATGTATGACTTACCCTGGTGGTACAGTTCTCTAACATGTCATGTATATCGCTGGTCCTCTCGTCAAGTCTGTACTCTGTTTTTTCCTCCATACCAGTTATGTCCTGTTCAAAAAAGAAAAAATAACATTAGAAACTACAATTGATGTTGTGTCATGTTTCCTACAAAAGTCCATTTATCAGCAAAGTACAGAATAAAAAGGAATAAATAATAATCTTCAAATCAACTTTCCTGACATTCCCTGAGGGTTTGACAAAGCTATTAATGTCTAAAAAACTTAAACCCAAGACTGTATCTTAATGTTAACTGCAAACAAACTAAGTTTGTTAATCAATAAAATACAGAAAATATGAAAAGTTTTTTTAACATTTTACTCTGGATTCTGTTTTGATCATGAAAAAGTTTCTGTCCGAGTATCATAAAATTCCATGAAGGTAAAGCTGTTGATGTTTTAAAAAATCTTTCACCACAGACTGAACCTAAATGTTGATGACAACATAATGTAAAATTTCTACACCTCGATTTTCATCACAGCATGGACAAAAAGATATTGCCCTTCATGATGGATATTTCTCAATTGTAATGTACCTGTATTACAATTTGTATGCTTCTACTTAATTTGAAGATTTTTCAAAATATTTCAAATCTATTCAAGTTAGTGAATCTATAAGAAAAAAGCTTTTAAAGGGTTATCTCATCCAAATGAATTTCAAATAATGAGTATTCATTATTATTCGTTGTGGATTTTGTGGGTGCAAGGGAATCCACAGTAAGAAAAGTATAACTGTGAGCTATCACTAATGATACCCCTCTGTTAGTATTTGGTAAACAGGAAGTTGTCGAAAAATGAATCAAAAATATTACACAGTAAAACTTCTTCATATGAAGACTGCTATCAATTTCACGAAGATCTTATTTGTAGTTTCTTAGAAAAATGGGAGGAAAAATTTCATACATGGTCAGTATGTGTTAGAACAATATGTAAATATTCGGTAAACAGGAAGTTAATTAGTGATGAATTTGTAACCGTGTCACATTATAATACATGTAGACATGAAGCCTGATAGCAAACTTCAGGAAGCTATTATTTGTTGTTCCTGAGAAAAAAAAAACGACCAAATTTAATTGGGGACAGACATACAGGGATAAAACAGTATAGACCCCACCCCCTCATACCTGTCGTAGATTCTGAATTTCATGTTGCTGTAGTTCTGTCATGTCGTTTATCTGTACTTCTAATCTTTCTACACGGTAACGTTCTTCTTCTAACAATGTTTTTAACATAGCTATATCACTCTGGGCAGTAATCTGAAAACAAAAAGTACACCTATGTCATACCTCAGTCTCTCTACATAGCACCTCTACTAATACCATTATAAAAATAAGGAGGTGTGGTATGATTGCCAATGAGACAACTATATACCAAGGATTCTTTTCAGAAATAATCTTACAACTAAAATTGATCGTAAGTTATACTAAATTGTTCTGCATCACCTAGTATAGCATGCTCACATAAAGCTTGTTCCAACTTTCAGAAAGTTCTGATTTGTAGTTCTGGAGACAAATGCAATCCAAATTTTACAAAAGTCTTTTCACACTTTTGTATACCCCACCACCTATAATTTTTATTTTCATTTTTAACAGAACTATATTTGATTCTAATCCTTGTGTGGTGTCCAACCCAACCGTACAATTTTGTCCTTAAATAACCCTTAGTCATTTGTTTCATAAGTTTGTTTGAATTACATCTCACATTTCCTATTTGTTAATGTACAATTGCAGAAAAACTGCTTCATTTGCATGTTATATTGCATTAGAATCAGTCATACCTTATAGGTTTCAAAGTCATCAGATAATTGTTGATGTCACATTACACTAGAATCAGTCATACCTTATAAGTTTCAAAGTCATCAGATAATTGTTGAACAGATTCCTGAATGGCCTTGTTGGCTTCGTTAGATTTCTGTAGTTCCTGTAAGATTGGTTCCATATTTATTGACTGCTGTATAACAGGAAGTTGTTGTGATGTATGCTGGGAGGCTGACTGTGGACTATTGTGATATAAGCCTACGGATCCTGATGTCACGCTTGAGTTATCATCGTCCGAAAATTTGAAACTAAAAAATAATATTTAAGCTAATTACACTCTGTAAAGTATATGTTGGTATTGTCAGTTTGTTTCTTTAAAATTTTTTTCTCACACTATTTTAATTAAACAAAACTTCTATGAAATTTATATAAATTCATAACCTTATAGGTGTAGGTTCATAAAAGGTTAGAATTGCCCCTAAGATTTTTCAATTTTTTTTTTTTTCTTTACCTAGCCAAAAAACTATGAATTTTCAAATAATTTTTGGAAAAGTTTACTTTGGCCACACCCCCAATCCAAAAACATGTGATGTCTAGAGATTCAATATAAACCGGAGTACATTTTGCTTATAGAACATTTTGAAGCATAGGTTGAATCTCTGGTATATTTGAAGGTTTTAGATCGGAAAAGATATTGTTGTATTTTAACAACAACTTCAAAATGTGCTGTCTTTGAAGCTGTTGAATTGATTTGTTTTACTTCACATTAAGGCTTTTATAATAGATCCAAGTTGTGATCTTTTTGATCATTTATGATTCAGTAGAATATATTTTATATGTTTTTTAAGAAACATTTGATCTTTCTTTCTTTTTTTTTGGCGAAAGTCAAATTCTAATAATAAGTTGAAATATTATTTCTATATATTTTCAAACAAGGGACCCCACTGGAAATAAGCTATACTATGTAAGCTTTTATGGGATATTCCAGGCTTTTTTCTAAGCACTGTTTTTAAAATATATTATACTATTTTAAAAGTATATATATATATATATATATATATATATTTATCACTATTTTACGAAATTTTCCTTTGATCTTACTGACTGATAATTTCCTTTCTCAGCACAGTAGAGTGATATGAAAAATTATCGCAAGAAACTAAGGGCGCATGTGCCGTTGTCAATGAAATTAACAACGTCGTCATAGGTAAAATAGCGATAAACAGATTATCATTGGTCATCTCAACTCGATTGCTTTTCTCACTTTCTATGTACCGGCTCAAGTGAGAAAATCAATCTGGTTGAGAAGACCAACGATAATCTATAAATATATCATTGTCCTGTCTTGTGAATTTTTGTATATGTGCTTGAAATTGCCTGAATAAAACTATACTATACTATAGAAATTTAAGACCATATTTGGGCATAAGTAAACTTCGTCCTTCAGGTGAACTTCAAATAAACCCAGACAGAACAAAAACTGCAGAATTATTTTATATCATTATTATTTCAGATGCAATTTATGTATGAATTGTATAATGTATGTAAATATTTTTAGGTCATTTAGTTTTTAGCATATCTCCTTCATCATGATATTAAAGGGCGCCACATGTGGATCTGAATTTGCTTACCGTTTTGGAGTACTTGATATCATCCCTTAGTTTTTGGTGAGGTTTGTGTTACTAAGTCCTTAGTTTATATGTTGTTTGTTGTTTTTTCTCTTTCCTCCACTGTTTTATCAGTCACTCTTTGACTTATGAGTTATGATTTTCACTTGTATTTCAAGTCTTTGTAAGGTGTAATACCACCAAATCATAGTACGTCACATCCGGTTGCATACGAAAAAGGGTCGAAAAAAATATTCCCTTGAATTTGACAGTTGTAGGAAATTAATCCTACATTTCATTGCAGTAAAAAATTTCTGAGTCATAAACATATATCTTGGGTGTTTCAAAGCACCATTCTTTTTTTATTTGGTGGTTCTATAGAATATTTTGGAAACTTGAGGTTACATGGTTACCAAAGCTTGTACACAGGCAAAAAAGAGGTGAAAATTTGATTGGTTAACTTCCAGTGGTGGTTATTTTCTTATATGCAATGAAATGTTATGTGAAATTTTGTCTATAGTACCGGACAGGATAAAACTTTACTCATGCCAAGTATTTCTTTATTTGAAACAAAGATAAATTCTGCAAAATTTTTTGAAAAGTGCAAATTTAACAAAGACTAATAGGGGAAAATCAATGGTGGTATTACACCTTTAAAGAATGTTAAATGTAGCAGAATCAGTATTTTATGATTGAACGGCATTCCTCTCATAAACAATAGAGATTTTTTTTCCTGGTGTTATTTTCAAATTGAAATTAATATTAAGACTACTTTAAGGGTAAATGATACCCATATTTGAAAAAAATAAAATCTGAACATAATTGGAAGTGTTTCAAAGATGAGAATATGTTTTATTCCTACAGTTCCTGACCATGGCCTGCTATGGCAAAATTACTGAACATTGTAAATACACATATTACATATCATCAGCATGCATGATACAGACAGAAAGCAGACATCAGACTCATTTGTACTCATAAGTGTGATGTGTGTGTTGCGTGTGTATTTATATATACGTATGTGTGTATTTTGTGTGTTTGTATGTGTGTGTGTTATAAAGATGACATCAGCCAACAAGTACTTGTACTCACACTTATCTAGCAGTTTATTGATTAGGGGTGTAAGTGTGTGCATATGTATGTGCTATACAGATAGAAAACAGATTTGTACTCATACCTAGCCAGCAGACTGTATCGGTTAAGGGTGTAACGGTGTATATTTGTAAAAAAAATAAAAAATAAATGGAGAATGTGTCCAGATGGACACAGATGATGCCCCCACTTGCATACAAAATTATAAAGGGACATAACTCAAGAACAATAAAAGTGACGCTATCCAAATTTGTACTTGATCTGAGTTTTGTAGAAATAAGTATTGTATATAAGTATAAAGGTTTCATAATGTTTGGTTGGGGCAAACTTAAGTTACAGAACGGAATCTAAAAATTTTGCAATTTTTTCGATTTATAAAGGGCATAACTCGATAATGATTAAAGTGATGCCACCAAAATTCAACTTGATCTGTGTTTTGTGGTAAAAAGCATTGTGTATAAGTTTCATAACATTTTGTTGAGGCAAACTTAAGTTACAGAACGGAAACTAAAAATTTTGCAATTTTTCCATTTATAAAGGGGCATAACTCTAGAACGGTTTAAGTGATGCCACCAAAATTCTAACTTGATCTGTGTTTTGTGGTGATAAGCATTGTGTATAAGTTTCATAACATTTGGTTGAGGCAAACTTAAGTAAGAGAAAGGAAACTAAAAATTTTGTAATTTTTCCATTTATAAAGGGGCATAACTCTTAAACAGTTTGAGTGACACTACCAAAATTCAAACTTGATCTGTATTTTGTGGTAATAAGCAATTTGTATAAGTTTCATAACATTTGGTTGAGGCAAACTCAAGTTAGAGAACGGAAACCAATTTTGGGACGTACGTACAGACGGACAAGGGTAAAACTTAATGCCCTTCCACTACAGCGGGGGTATAAAAACGACAGCAGACATGTACTTGTACTCACACCTAGCTAGCAGTCTGTTGATTAGGGGTGTAAGTGTGTGTATGTGTGTTTGTTGCATGTGTATGTATGTATGTTTGTTGAATGTGTGCATGTTCTGTGTGTGTGAATGTGTGTTTAGTGTGTGTGTGTGTGTGTGTGAATGTGTGGCAATTGTGTGTGTGTGTTTACAGACAGAAAGCAGAGGTCAGCAGACATGTACTTTTACTTATACCCAGCAGGAAGTTTGTTGATTAAGGATGTGAGTGTGTGTGTGTGTGTATTACAGACAGAAAGCAGACGTCAGCAGACACGTACTTGTATTCATACCTAGCTGGTAATGTACTGGTCTGATTTTTAATCTCCCCCTCTGGAATACTTGTATCTTCTATCGATGTCTCTGTAATATCAATTATATATACACATTTACTACACAAACAATTTTTCTTAATTTACCTGAAATGAATTTAAAATCATGAACAAAACAGAGTGCTTTCAAGGTTAAAAGTCAGACCTTCAAAACAGAGCAAAAATTCAAACCTTTTTGTATATTAAAAAACTGTCCTTGGGCAGCGATTTTGGAAACACTAGTATTTGTAGGTCCTAATTATAACTAAAATACTGTGGAACAGACTATTTTCCAAGATACTTTTTCCATGTTTAGCACTTACCCACTACACTGCAATTTATTTTTCATTTTTTATCTTTCTTGATGTCAAATGAATGTATTTACATATTCACAATGATATATCTGCATAAACCTAAACTTTAGTTTATGACATCACAATTATTTATGTACACATAGTAATATACAATAAAAAAGAAAGTGTCTGCCCATATAAATGGATTCATTTATTTTTGAATCCATTTTTTGTGGATACTAATTTTCTAGGATTGAGTAAAAAAAGATATTTTCTTGGCTTATATGATTTTGTGGATTAGTCAAAGTCTCCGTACAGACCTATAGAAAATTTGTATTTCGTTGGAACATTTAAATTCGTGGTTTACCTTTTCCCATAAAGTCCATAGTATTGTTTATACATATGACATGTGACTTATTACTTACTCAGTTGGTTTATATTATCAGCACTTCCAAATTTATTCTTTATCATATGAGCTAACTGGCCTGGTTTTGACTTTATATGACTGAAAATTTAAAATTAAACAAATATTAGCATATCATATTGGCATCACATGTTAAGTAGTAAGCTATAAAAGGCCCCGAAAAAAACAAATGTAAAAGAATTCAAACGAAAAAACTAACAGCCTGATTTATGTACAAAACAAAAATCAAATTAAAGTGCTAGTAAGCACTGAAGGGTAAAAATTGCAGCGGAATCTAAAAATTAAACATTGCAATTCATTAAGCATTGGGAGACAATACTTAGAATTGGATATAATTGTAGTCTTTTCAACTGCAGTTATGTATAAAGGAAGATAACTCCAATTTTAAATATTACTTTAACAACGACATTTTGATATTTTTCAAACAGATACCATTCATGCACTATGGACAAGTAATTTTCTTGACAAGGATATACACATACAAATTACCTCAGTATATATATGTCATTGGTAAATTTCTTGAAAATTTCATACGTAGGATATATAGAATGTTGTACATTGTTAACAGCAGAAAGTGCAATTAGTTGTTGTTGAATAAAAAAAAAAAAGAATGTTGTGCTTTATGCACCATGTTTTGTGTAGTGATCAAACATGGAGAATTGATAAATATCAAGCAAGCTTCATAAGGGATTTGATTGCACGAATGCAATGTTTACCGCAAAAAATAATAAATTGCTTCACGGCCGCAGCTGGATACGACCTACCCTGAACAGTTGGGGCAAAAATGGACACAATATTCGCGCTTTATACAGGTCTGAATTTGGATTGTAATTAAATATTTCACACATTATAGGTTTCTGACACAGAATAACTGTAGTTAAAGAACTTAGAATTGGTTATATGATTTGAATTTATGTTCAATTTTTTGCCTTTGTGCAATACACCATGTTGTTGCAAGTTGAACCCCCCCCCCCCCCCCAAAAAAAAACAAAAAAATTTTACCCCCTCTTTTTTTTTTTGCTTTTGTACAATACACTTTGCAAAAAAAAAAATTGTACCCCCCTTTTTTTTTGCTTTTGTACAATACACTATGCTGTTGCGAATTGACCCCCCCCCCCCCCAAAAAAAAAATTTCTACCCCCCTTTGTTTTGCAAAAAATTAATATATGAAGAAATTTTCTTTTTAATTTCTGAAATCTTGAGAAAAAATTGTCCCCCCCCCCCCTTGCGGTCGTATAAAATTATGATATACAGCAATATACAACAACTACTGAATTACAGGCTCCTGACTTGGGACAGACACATACAGAATGTGGCAGGGTTAAACATAATTGCTGGCGCAAAGCCCTCCCCTAGTCATTTAACATTGGAGTCCAACGCATTTGCCACGTGCGTAATTCCAACTTACAACCTGAGTGTTGACAGGCTAGTGATACAGTAGTTCGACTACAGGTGACTACAGGTTAAGACCACTTGTCCACCAAGGCCCGCGTGCATTATTAGAAAACAATGTGATATTCAAATAAAGGGATCTTAATTTAGTTCTATACACCAAATAAAAAATACTTATTTAAGTATATATAGAGAACTATGCAACAAAAGAATTAGAATTGGAAAACGAATAATTTGATCTTACACAAAACAAATCCTCCTCACAAATTACTTAAAAGAAAAGAAAACATTCTTTTGAAATTTGATATGCAAACATTAATTTTATTTTCTAGTCCCCAATTCATTTCTTTAACAATTCTTATTTACAAACTATTAACATTGCATAATTTAATACAGTTAGATCAATTATTTGATATTTGTATAGATATCAAGCCACAAGCTTGACATTCCACATGTGTGAACCACCTAAGATAATATTTCATTAAATAGACAACCTCCCACAATGTCAATAGGATGCAATTTATAATACTGTTTCAAGTTACGGTACAAACTGTTTAACATGCACATGGCATTATAAGAGGGTCTGGGTGGGATTTACAGAATAGGGAAAGTGCAGATTGAAGAGCAAACAAATTAAAGAATAGAGAACAAAAGAATGATAGACTATAAAGAATAGCGAATAATTGGCAAAATAGAGAAAAATAGCCTAAAATTAATATAAAGAACAATGAAATGTCAAAGGATCCCCCATCCAGACCCTCTTATAACAAATTCCTCATTACTTTGTACTATTGTGCTGTCACATTTTATTTTGTCTGTTTAAATAAAACTGTAGTACAAATTCAATAAGTGTAAAATAATATTAATAGCATAGACTTCCTGAATTGTTCAAATGGAAACTCCTGATCAGATTGCCTCATAAAGTATATTATTGTGAAATTTGATTATGAATTGAGAAAATGACATTCCCTGTTGTTAGGACAAAGAACATCAATATAGCATCTGTTTATATGATATATATATATATATATATTTAATTTCCAAGAATATCATATTATTGATTTATTGATTACAGAAACTGAGAAACTTTGTTGAAGTTAAAATTTTGGTCTGACAATTGAAGAGGACAAAAAGGACCTTTTTTGGGATGTCAGGATTTGGCCTTTATTTTTTTTTTAAGGGAATTCTGGATTTACACTTATCTAGACTAGGGAATTAATGATTAAGGTAGATGGGGTGTCTAAATTATAATCCATAGATTTTTTTAATAATTTGCCAAAATGTAGTTTATATCATGCTTTTTAAAAAAAAATAATAATAAAAAGAATGGGTCACGGGGCTTATTTTCACGCTACAGGTTGTTCAAAATTCACAGATTTTGTATAGATTATGCATGGAAAACCCAATTTTCAGCCATAAAACGAAAAACTACACCATAGAATTTTGAGATAAAATATGAGAAGATAGCTTTAATAGTATGCTTTCAGATAAGAAAAAGAAAAAATGGGGTCACCGGACCCATTTTCTTGCTACATAATAAAATAGGTAAATTCCTAACACATTCCATTATAAAAGTACCTTTATCTGAATTATCTGCCCTTACATTTGAGTTTCCTCCCCTTATGTGGCAAAGTTGGAAAAAAATGAATCAAACAAAAGTTTTCTGTTTTTTGTAAAATACAACCATAAATATGATAAAACATGTCATTTTCTATATTGAAATGAAAATTCTTACACATGAATTACCTACTACTCTCAAAATGTGCACATTCTATTAAAGATCTAGACCGATTGCTTTCTGGTATTTCAAAATCCAAGATGGAGGAAGACACCCTATCTACCTTAACTTTTTGGGATCCAGGAAAGAATACCTTATTTTTTAGGGAATTCGGGATGACACCACCTGTTACTGAGATGCTCAGAATACATTTTACAAAATCGTTAACACAAACATTCCAGTGATTTTAAAGAGTTATGTCCCTTACTAGATATTTTTGATACTTACTCTTTAGCACCTTTGATATTCCCAACAACACCCCTGAAATGAATAAAGATAAATTATAGAATGATGAGTCTTCATACAAGGAACATCTTAATCTCACATAATTTCCTAGTGTCCACATAAAACCTGGTATTTGATTCAACATAAATAATTTAAAATAAAGGATGTCATTTAAGTATGTTATCTTTATATGATATCATATACAATCCAAAATATATACTTACCCAGAAAACCCTGTAATACCATCAACAATATTTGCACCGACTCCCCTGCAAACATAGAAATTAAACATTTGAACAACTTATTAATAAATAAGTGATAAATAAAGATGTGGCTCTGTCATGCCAAGAATGAAACTTATCCTAGGCCTTGTCTCATAAATATACTTTCTTAGATCCCATATATATCTAACTGTAAACTCTCTCTAACCAATGTACTGTCATATTTAGTCAAGAAAAAGACAAGAAATGAGTTGTCAAATTGACAGCTAACTGGAGTTTCTGTATTTTTAAAGGGACTTTCAGGCCTTTTCCACCTTTTACATTCTATGTCTATTTTTCAATCTATCAAGGATCACAACTCCTGAATGACAAAAATTGAAATTGTCAATATCAAACTTGACCACCATTTTGTCATCAGTAACAAGCAAATTAAAATTTTCAGAGAGTTGGTTGAACAGATCATAAGTAATTGCATGGAAATAACATAAAGTGTAATTTTTCAATCTATTAAGAACCATAACTGAAAATCATCAATATCGTAATTTACCTCCATTTTTTCATCAGTAACATCTTATTAAAATTTTAAAATCATTGGTCAAGTGGTTTATAAAATAAATGTATTGTATGGAAATAACATGAGTTCTCATTTTCCAAAAGCTCCTGAACAGTAAAAGTGAAAATCATTAATATTGAACTTGACCTCCATTTTGTCTTCAGTGAATATAAATCATAATTTGAAAACCATTGGAAACTGTTGGCAGCAGCCTACCTACAAGACTGCCTTACTTCACCAATTTAATATCTGGATTTTCCATCTGAAAACCCGGTTAAAAATTACTTTCACAAATTTGAAGCCATACCCTTCAGCCGGTAATATTTCTATTCAAAACTGTTATCTTCTTTGTCAAATAACATGGAAAACCTTGTTAAGTGTCTGGTACAAAAACTTACTTAAAGCCTTGTCCCAGGTCCCTTAACCTCTCTCTAGCCTGTTTATGTCCAGTAAAACCATAAGTATCCAAGTCATTCATTCGTTTATGATAATTTTCTACTTTTTTAGTCAAAACACTAATTGTTTGTGTTGATTTCTGATTTTTCTTTTCAAATATCGTCTTTATTCTTTGTAGCTGTTGTTTGTCAGCATTTGATGCTAGTCGTAAATACTCATTCACATGTTCTGAAAAATAAAACCCATTAATAGTCTAAAATACTCTTTAATCATAACTGTGTAACAACTGCAAATTCAGAAATATTTGCAATGTTTTTTTTTTTATTGTGAAAAACTGCAACTTGATAAGTTTCCCCAAAAGTATTCTTAAATTTTAAATTTTGATAGCATTTGTCAATTTCTACTATGTGAAGATCTTATAATAATGATGTTTTATGTTAATTTTTGACAGCCCTTTACTTCTATTATTTCCTTTTGTTATCCTATATAAAGTTACAGCGATAGGATTGTGTCCCTTGAATGTGGTGATGAATAGGATTGTGTCCCTTGTATGTGGTGATGAACAGGATTGTGTTCCTTGTATGTGGTGATGAATAGAATTGCATCCCATGTATGTGTTGATGAATAGAATTGTGTCCCATGTATGTGGTGATGAATAGGATTGTGTCCCCTTGTATATGGTGATAAATAGGATTTTGCCCCTTGTATGTGGTGATGAATATGATTGTGTCCCTTGTATGTGGTGATGCCCTTGTATGTGGTGATGAATAGGATTGTGTCCCCTTGTATGTGGTGATGAATAGGATTGTGTCCCCTTGTATGTGGTGATGAATAGGATTATGTCCCTTGTATGTGGTGATGAATAGCAAATCATCCTTTGTATGTGGTCATGAATAACATATCATCCCTTGTATGTGTTGATGAATGGGATTGTGTCCCTTGTATGTGGTGATGAATAGGATTGTGTCCCCTTGTATGTGGTGATGAATAGGATTATGTCCCTTGTATGTGGTGATGAATAGCATTGTGTCTCTTGTATGTGGTGATGAATAGCATATCGTCCCTTGTATGTGGTGATGAATAGGATTGTGTTCTTTGTATGTGACACAACTTCTAAAAGTGGTGAATAATCAGGCCAAGTTTCATTACCAATCTCCAAAGTGTTTGAAAGTGACGGATGGATGCACAAATGAACAAGGTGAATACTATGGACCTTCCGCCAATTAAATCAAGGGGCCCAACTGATTAATTGAATCTGACACCAGTCAATATAAATGATATGTTAAACACTGACTTTTGTAAGTTGTTTGTTTGTCTGTTTGATGTATCTGTACTTTCAAACAACTTTGTATGACTTAGTTTTACTGCTGAAAGAAACTATATAGAAGGTTAATAGTGTCAAATGTAATTTACTTTATTTGTCTTCTTGCTTAATGTAAATTGCTAGCCAAAAAATATATAGTTTACATAACTGAAAACATGAACTTTGTACCTTCTTTTACTGCTTGTTCAGCTTTAATGTTGTCCATGGTCTTATTGATCTTGGCCTGTAGGACTTCTTTAGCATGTTTAGTCCTCTCAACATCGGAGACAGTACCCTCTGTCTGTCCATCACATTCATCAAGGGCACCATCACCACTGCTTCCATTGTCCCTGCTACTCACCTCCTCCTGTAACAAACATTATCATTAGTTATTCAAAATGTACATTGTGATTGGCCAGAAAATATATAACAAATAATGTGATTGATGAGCTTGAGCTAATTAACATTTGGGAAAGGTGAGTATGGGGGACAATTTGACATACACTTAAATACTGTTGATTCATTTATTGTCATAGGCACCATGGATTGAGGAAAACTTGTACTTTTGTGGATATTTGATTTTATAGTTTTGCCAAAGTTTGCCTACACAAAATTTTTATTTCGTTATACATTTAAAATTGTGGTTCACCTATACCCACGAAATCCTGGAAAATCTGTATTCCATTAATAATGAATCCACGAAAATCAGTATTCCACAAATAATGAATCCACAAAAATCAATATTCCACAAATAATGAATCCACGAAAATCAGTATTCCACAAATAATGAATCAGAATCTTCAGTTTTAAAGAAAAGTGTTCGAAATATTTTTTTTGTGCAAAACACAAAATTATGTATAGAATGGCCTAGTTCCTAGAATTTAATGATGATTGTTGACTGTTTTTTGTGCAGCAGCAAATTAAATGCATATTCAGGAGGAGGACATCTTAATGTGAAATGCATAGCTTTGTACTAGAATGACATCCTGAGCAGGGTTATTATGTGCTAGTTCAAATGGTTACAGTCCGCAGTAACCCGACCCACACACAATATCCTAATTCCAAACCGTAATTCTTCCTCAGCTAACACCATTCTTAAGTATTTGACTTAACTTGGCTGGGGATCAAACTTTAATTAAGACCTCTTGAACTGGAAGCAAGCACATATCAAAGAAACCACTGAGGCAGATAATTTGAATAAAGAATTAGAGAATAATAAACAAACAAGTTTCATAAATCACACTGGTTATAACACAGTGACATTATGTAACAACACCATAACAGACAACTCACACTTTCTAAATCCTCTGTACTCCTATGGACCATTTCATCTGAAGGTGCTGTGACGGATAACGTTGTTAAATTAGTCTTCGATGTCGGAACACCATTGTCTGGGGATGTCTGTCGTTTCTTGGCAAGATTGGGACTTTTTGGTGTTGTACTCTTCTTTGTCAAAGCTTTCAGTGCAGGGATTTTACTGGCGTCAGACTTTTTCCTGAAATAAAAAAAAGTTTACTACAAAATAGTTGATATCCAATTACCAACATATTTTCACAATTCTCTCCTTTCCTGTAGAAATTCATGTCTCTACAAAAACCTGTAAATTCAACCATCATAAATATAGATCAAACGAAAATCATTTCAATGTAGCAAATAAAAATGCCAGATAACATAATCTTTATGTTAGGGTTAAATTACCAGTATCCCAATTAAATTACATGTACAAAGAACATTTGTACAATACTGTGGATTCATTTAATTCCATAGGAACCAATTTTGGTAGATTAATGAAAAATTGTATTTTTTAAAGAAAATTTGTAAATTATTTAAGGAATGACTGTAATATTTTTTCTATTTATGAATAAATAACATAAAAAATGTGGTGCACACTGGATAATGGACATAGCGGGTTATTTAAAAGTGTGCCTCATTTTTAGGTTATTTGAATAGACAGAAAAAATATTACAGTGATTCCTTATAATTTAATTCTGAATTGTAAGGATTAAGTCATGAAAAAACGTTAATGACATCACGGTCACATGACAAACTTATGTCTATGAGCTGATAGACAAAAAACTTTCAGCCTATCAGAAGGCGTGTTACATCCAAAATTAAATTATTTAACATCTACACGTGCGGTTCCATCTTTACCCAGATAGCCCGGAAATGAAGTCCCCACAAATAATAATGAATACACAGTAATTCATTATAAAGTGTTGATCATAATGACTGACAATGGACACCTCTGGACTGACTAAAAATTGACACCTCTGGACATAATGTTCACAGCATCACAATCAATGCTAATGTATTCCGTGGTGATAACATTATTTTCAATGTGTTACCACAACTCCAGTTACCCCCAAGTATTCCAAGATGACACAAAATAGATGCTGTAAACATGATTTTTTTGACGATTTAAATGCCGAATGTTTCAGCTGGGGGTTAAATTACTGCATCAAGTTCACACATACTTTAATCACAATTACTGTTTTCTACAAACAAGTTTGAACATATTCTTGAAATAAGAGAAAATAACAAGTGGCTCTCAAGAGCCTGAATCGCTCACCTGCATTTCAGAGGAGAAGATTTTTAAATGTTAGAAAACTTGATGAACAAATTGTGTAAAATTGTCTTTAAAGGGCAATAACTCCTTAAGGGGTCAATTGACAATTATGGTCATATTCACTTTTTTGTAGATCTTACTTTGCTGAACATTATTGCTGCTTACAGTTTATATATATCTATAATAATATTCAAAATAATAACAAAAAACTGCAAAATTTTGTTAAAACTACCAATTAGGTGGCAGCAACCCAACAATGGGTTGTTCGATTCGTCTGAAAATTTTCAGAGCTGATAGATCTTGACCAACTGAATAATTTTACCCCACGTCAGATTTGCTCTAAAAGCTTTAGTTTTTGAGATATAAGCCAAAAACTGCATTTGACCCCTATGTTCTATTTTTAGCCATGGCGGCCATGTTTGTCGATGGATCAAAACTTCGGATACAATTTATAAACTAGATACCCTAAAGAACATTTAGTTAAAGTTTGAAGGTATTTGGCCCAGTAGTTTCAGAGGAGAAGATTTTTGAAATAGTTTATGACGACAGACGACGGACGCCAAGTGATGGCATAAGCTCACATGGGGCCCTTCGGCGCCCCGGTGAGCTAAAAAGAGTGGTGAAAATTTCAATGTTGTCAGCATGCATTCAGTGGATTGTGAAATATTACATTGTAACAGCTAGTCGCTTACTGCCGTGTCTGAAGAACAAAAAACACAATAATGCAACAGTATGGAATGTGATTCTTAATTATATAAGTGCTTCTCAAATTTCTGACAAAGTATAGATATAGAACTCTAATATTAATTTGTTTGTTGGCAAAAAAAAAAAATTAAACAGAATATATAAATATAAAATGCCCGATAGAAAATTAAATGTTTTGTTTTCTCAGACTATTGAACACAGTGCATTGGTATAATAACTAAAATAAAAGTTAACACAATGCCTATAAGCTATAATTGTCTCATATAATACCTAAAATTAGAAAATTTTACATACGTCATTGTAACAGAAGTCCTATAAATTAAAAACAAATATCTTGCTGACAATACAAATTCTCTTATTATGGAATCTAAAGTGATGAATGATTAAACAGACCAAAACATATTATAATTATTTTCATTGATGTACATGTTATACAATTAAATAAATAATCACTTCTGGGACTAAGACAATCAATTAGAACTTAATAGATCTGTACTATAGGCTGCTTTACAGTAACGTCGTTGTCACCATTTTATTGTTTGTTCAGATCAATGAAAGTATTAACTTTGAACATATTTGCTGCTTTTTATAATACGCTTTTATCTTGTAGAGTAATTTTAAGATCTTCATTTATATCATTCTTTAATCAAGCCAATTTTGCAAATTACAATGTTCATAATACTTGAAGAATAATATTTTCAAATATAAGAATAAGACTGATTGATTGATTGTTGGTTGCTTAACGTCCAGTGGGATAAGAATAAGAAGATGTGATATGATTGTCAATGAGACAACTCTCCACCTGAGACCAAATGTAGTAGAAGTAAGCAACTATACGTAGGTCCCCATACGACCTACAACAATGAGCAAAACCCATACCTCATAGCAACCTATAAAAGGCATCAATGACAAATGTAAAATAATTCAAATGAGAAAATGGCCTGCTTTATGTACAAAACAACAAAACGAAAAACTAATATGATATACAGAAACAAACGACTATCACTGAATGCCTGACATGAAAGCGTATTTTGGGAGCTTTCACATAAACGGGAATTCAATGTATTAAAGCGTGACATGTTATTTTTATATCGACTTATTGTTGGTTGCTTAACATCTAGTGTTTTTGAATTGTCATGACATAGAACATTTTGGCTTTTATTATTAACAAGACAAGAGGACACTATGTCTTTTGACATAAATGAGTATGTTTTTGGTTGTATATTTGACATGACTTGACATGGTATATTCTTCCTATCAAGCCATATGACATAGTATACACTAATGGTCATGTCATGGCATGGTATATTCTTCATGTCAAGCCATATGACATAGTATATACTAATGGTCATGTCATGACATGGTATTTTCTTCATATCAAGCCATATGACATAGTAAAGATACTAATGGTCATGTCATCACATGGTATATTCTTTAGGTTAAGACTATGGTACCTTTTTTTGCATTTTGACATGACATGGTTTAAATTTGTTGACATAGCTATGAAATAGTAATAACATGACATAAGGTAAAGGAAAAGTAGGGTTTTAAGTTATGATATGGAAATATTCTTTTTGATATTGACATGACAAATAATAAAGGAAAAATAAGTGACATACATGACATATGGAAAAGGAACATATACTAATGACGGTGTTGGTTTTGATATGTTAGAACTACATATCAGTTATAATAGTTTTTAAGAGATTTCTATAATATATAAACCTTTAAGGATTACTCAATATAAAAATAAGAAGATGTGGTATGATTGCCAATGAGACAACTCTCCACAAGAGAACAAATGACACATAAATTAACAACTATAGGTCACCGTATGGCCTTCAACAATGAGCAAAGCCCATACCGCATAGTCAGCTATGAAATGACAAATGTAAAACTATTCAAATGAGAAAACTAATGGCCTGATTTATGTACAAAATAATGAACGAAAGCTGTCTTAAAAATATTGAATTTGAGAAGGAAACTGTAATCCTCAAGTTTAAGAGCCTCATAGGAGTGTCTCTTGAATATGATATCCAGCATCATATGAGCTGCATCAGATAGAAATCATAGTTATGCAAATGAATCAATATACATCTGTTAACCATTATTTCCAGTTGAAAAAATCTGTACAGAAAGTCTGTAAATGTTTGAAAATTGAGTAGTTATAAAAACCCTACAAAACAGACCAAAATTCATCTTTTATTTCGTATTTGAATGTTCTAAAATCAATCAGTCTTATACATGTACATGAGGTCGGTTTCTATTCAACGCAGCTCATATCTTTCACGATTCAATAAATGTTTAGAACTAAAAAACCAAACCATAACCTATCTTGTATCAAAGTCAAACTATATTGTTAGATGGGGATATTACCATTTCACCCCTAATTGATAATACTTAAGAGCTCTGAAAACACTTTTAAGTGAGAATTGAAGCTCAATTTTGTTATATTTACAACCATCCATTTAACAACAGCTACCATCCTTTTAACAGAAAAACAAAATGTTTTCTAGAATCATATGTAAACCTAAAATTCCTTTATTTCCTCTGTATTGTAAAACTATTGTGAACAATCCACTTCATTTGGATTCTGGTGGATAGTTGTCTCATTGGTAATCATACCACATCTCCTTATTTTTCATATCAATCAAGCATGATATGAAAGCAATTAATTGTCAATTATTATAATTCATGAAAAACATAGAGTTGTCTTGAATCTTTCTAAAGTACTGTTTTAGCTGTATGCTATATATAGCTATTCATAAGTACACATTGTGTTTATTTACATAGACATTCCTCTCCAGGTAGATCCACTTCATTTGGAATCTAGTGGATAGAAAATGTCTGAGTGGCAATTATACCACCTGACATCTCCATATTTCAAATGCCATTTCCTTACCTGCATAAAACTTACGAAAAATATATCCTCCAGAAATGACAGAATACACAATATAATATTACTATAGATACTCAGAATAACTTCCTAAGGAAGTGATAATGGTATATGTGTACCATAACGAAAAACTATATCCTCAAAACACAACAGAATACACAATATAATATATCTATAGATACTCAGGACTGTGATATAAGTATATGTGTACTATTGTATAGTACATAGGATGTTAGTGTATTCATTAAATATAATAATCTATGATAGACACAGCTGAAGTACAAGTTGTATTTAATCAACACAGAGTCATATGATAACCAAGTTATTT